GGTTAGGATTTCAATCTGGGCAGACACATATATTCGACCAAAGGCATTACTCATTATTATTTATTTGTTCATCATCAGGTGCCACTTATTCAGTTTAATGATGACAAATTCAAACACTTTTTGAGGCTTCTTGACCTGCCGAACTTTCTGGCTGGAATCCCCCAGACTCTCTGCTGTCTCCCCACCTGAAGGGCAGTGCGGGCAGTCATCAGTTCCCGCTGCTGAGTTGTAGGTAGGAGAGCTAAGGGAGCCATTTTACCCACCCCCGCACCCGCTCCCCAAGATAGAATGTTCCTCACAGAGGTGTCAGGCTACCAGCTTTCTGAGCATGAATTCTGTTAACCCTCAAGTACAATTATTGGCAAGAAAAGGGAAGAAGAAAAAAATCTGAAAACATTACTAAGTGCACAGCAGCGCCAGCAATCTGATGCATTCCCCCCCCACCCCCCGCGGTGCTGGGAGTAGAAGGATGGAATTAAGTGAATCAGTTAGAGACACAGGGAGACGCGGGCTTAGGAACACACCTCCAACCCGCACCCCAGTAAGTATATTTCAGCTCTCAGGGGTCTGATTGAAACTTCAGGTCTCCTCCGAGGCCTGTTAAGAATCTTCTTTTCCAAGAAGAATAGAAGCTCGACAGACAGGAGATTTCAGAGCCCTTGCAGCTGCTAAAATGTCAGCGCTAAGAGCCTCAGATTGCATTTCCCTCCTGGCCCGAAAGAAGCTTTTCACCTGCGTGAGAAAAGCCTCCTCTTCAGAGGCAGCTCCCAGAGCGCTCTGTGATGGAGGTCGGGGCCGGCGTGTGTGGGTAGCGGTGTCGACATCCATAATCGGTTTATATCTAAAATTGTCCTAAAAGATTTACTCTTTATTTTAGCTGATTACAAAGGGGCGAGGAAGACATATTTCTTTTATTAGGAATGATTTTCAGAGGCCGTGTGTACACCACCTGGATTAGAAAAACACACCAAGCTTGAAATTAATATTTTTAAACATGTGATTTCATTCAATTCAAGGAATTAGTTGCACGTTCAGAGCACCCCACGCCACATGATGTACCGACAGGACAAGAAGAAAAGGCTTGAACCCTTTTCTTCAGAGGGTTTCAATGGGATAGACGGCCCTGGTCAGCTGTTCCCACAGTAACGCCGGGTAACAGCACCCCATTCTCAGCACTGCAGGCCACACAGTTGGTGACCCATCTAGGTATTGCTGGTCCAGGGGGGCAGTGATGGACTCGCCTCTCGGAGCCAAGTGAGGCTCCGTGCTGCCTGCACTGGGGTCTCCCACACCTGAAGCTCATGGGCGAGCCAGGCGTGTTGTCATGGTGATATCAGAAGCACAAGCCCAACACACCCACCACACTCACTGGCCAAAGCAAGTCACAGCGTCAATTTCACTATCAGGAGACTGAAGACAGACTCAGCGAGGAGATCAAGGGGAACTGGGGCATCGGGAGGGCTGACTGCAAACTGGAGAAAAATAATTCCACCCGACATATTAGAGAAAGATCAATTCAAGATGGCTGGACAGTGAAAGCTGGGCACTTCAGAAGGCAAGGGATTCATTCTTTCTCAAGGTCACTAGGAAAGGTTTCTTAGAGGAGGTGGCATCTGCTCTCAGCCACAAAAGGCATCCGTGTTCAGCAGGCAGAAGGGGCAGGGCCGGGGAGTAATTCAGAGCTGCTCTGTGGACACAGCTGTGGACGCGTGAAGCACATTTGCAGGGTGGGATACTAAGGAAGTAAATTAAAAGAATAAAGTTTCACAGTAGGAAAAGAATCAATAAGAAAACTACAAAAAAGGGCCTCCCTGGTGGTGCAAGGGGTTAAGACATAACCTATGAAGCTGTCCGCAGCCTCTGCAGCACGAGTTCAATCCCCCGCCAGGGGAGATACCCACATGGCGCAGCAGACCTCTCCTGAATCCCCGCTGCTCCCCTCAGCAGTGTATTTCAGTGGATCCACCTGTTCTGCTCCCCACTCTGTCTCTGGTGAGTCCTCTCATCCCCTGCACCTCTGGCCTGTACCCCAGTTCTTGTATGCATAAATAAATAAATCTTAAAAAAAAAAACTACAAATAAGACCTCCGAGGAAGTTGTCCCGTAGACTTTGTTGTGTTACATGTTATGCTAGAAGATCTTTGAAAAGAAGAGAGTTGGAAAATTCCTCAGGCATTTAGTTTTTAGTGGGAACGTGGTAAAGCACACAAGGATAGGACTTTTAAGCTTTTAGAGTATTCCTTGAGCTGAACATTACATAGACATCATCTAGCCACACTCACTATTTCACAAATGAAGAAATTTGTATATTGGGGATCAATACATTGTCTTTCCATGCTGACAGCCACATGTCACTTAATGGTAAGGACACGTGCAGAGAAATGCATCCTTAGGTGACTCCCTCACTGTGTGAATGTTAGCCTGTGCTCACACAGTCCTGCACACGCCTATTCGTATATGAGACATCCATCCTGCATACAGTTCATAGTTGACGGGAGTGTCATGGCACGCGGCTGTGCGTGCACAGGTGTGCCTTATGTACACTTAGTTACTGGGTTTGGGTTCCTCGGTTCTTGGCTGAAAAAATTCAAAGCCATATCTAGGCAAAGCAAAGCAAAGCAAAGTCTAATGAGCGAGAGTACATGCAGGAAGAGCCCATGAAGAACAACTGCAAGGAATAGCAGAGGATTCCTAGCTTAAGTGGGGTGCGGGGGGCAGCTCACTGTGTCCCATTCTGGGGTTTACTGCACCAAGGCTACTGGGGTGTTTGTTTTTATGCCTGAGCTGGAGTTTCTTTTTTTTTCTTTTTTTTTAATATTTATTTATGCATACAAGAACTGGGGTACAGACCAGAGATGCTGGGGGTGAGAGGATTCACCAGAGACAGAGTGGGGAGCAGAACAGGCAGACTGACTGAAACACACAGCTGAGGGGAGCAGCGGGTAAGACAGGAGAGGTCTGCTGCGCCATGTGGGTCAGCTCCCTGGGGAGGGGTGCTGGGATCGAACTCCCGCTGCAGAGGCTGCGGATAGCTTCACAGTGCTGTGCTTTACCCCCTTGAGCCACCAGGGAGGCCCTGGGCAGGAGTTTCTAAGTCACTCCCCCCTTCTTCTGGGTTTCTGGGGGTGTAACTTTATTAGCCCCGGAAACAGGTTGGGTGGGGGTCTGCCTTCCCCCTTGGCACTTCTTGCTCTCCGGGGCCCTGCCTGTAGGTGGGTTTGGGGTAGCCCTTGTTCCCTCTGGGGCTTTTCTTGGCTCTCCCCAGGGTTTATGGTTTATCATCTCTGGCAAGTGTTTCCTGAGGTCCTGGATTTGTTGGCCGTTAATTTTCTTTAGGCATCGCCCTCCCTACCCTAACTGCCTAACATCTGTCTGTGTAAAATACATAAATATATACAATGAATGTATTTAGAAAAGAATAAATCCTCTCTCTGTGTATTGAGGTGGGGGTGATCGCAAAGGGGCAGACTTCTTGAAGTGGTATTTGAAAGCATTCCTAATCCCTCCTCAACTTAAATACCACTTTGTTTTCATCAAGTGATCGTTCTGACTTCAAGGAACAGAATAAAACTCAAAATATTTCATTGCAAAGGGAGAGGTTGTTAATTAATGTTACAAAATAAAACCCACAATTTCAGAGACCTAATTGGTTTTATCAAAAGACTTGTGAATTGGGCAGCACAGGGTCTAGATAATGGGACCGGTATCATCATGCAGGTGCTGAGGAGAAACCCACAGATAGGTTGGTTGAGGACGACACTTGTGGGTGAGGCTGAATCCCCGGTGGGATTGATTCTGTGGGGGGCCTGGCTGAAGGACTCCATTTGGGGCCTGTTTTTTTTTCTACTTGTCACAAAAAGAAGCAAAATCAATATTGTCACAGATATTCCAGGCCCGGGAAATCCTACCTGAAGTGCTTGCTAACTTGAAAGTGCTCCCCACGCCCCAGAGTCTGGGGTGCCCTTATCAGAAGACAGGGAACTGGCTGGTGGGGGCAGATGAGGGCAAACCAGCAAATGTTCTCTCCACCCACCCACCGTCTTCCCCTCCCTGAAACTCATTCTCCTTTGTAAGTGAAACCTAATCATCCGCCTAACCCAAATATAATTAGAAAAGTAAATCAGTTTGTGTTCATTCTTTCCCAGAATAGAAATAATGAAACTTTGAAGTTCTGCCCTTTAGATAATCACCATTAACGCAGGTCAGAGGTCCACCACGGAAGAAGGGCCCGGGGGCCAAATCCAGCTGGTGTGTTTTTATAAAACAAGTTTTATTGGAGCAGCCTCGCCTGCTCATTTGTTTGTCGTTTGCACTCCCATGGCAGGGGTGAGTAATACAGAGACAGACACCATATGGCCAGGAGCCCCACATGCTTCCTTGCTCCCCCTTGTCAGGAAAGTTTGGGGGCGGGTAGCAACTAGAGCATGCGCCCCAAGAGTTGGTTTCACCAACTCCTGGCTGTGTCTCCTTACACTCCCCCCACGCTGTGCTCACCCCAGGGTTGACAGTCTAGCCCTTCTTTTTCTTAAAGATTTATTTATTTATATATTTATTTAGGCACAGAAGAACTGGGGTATAGGCCAGAAGTGGGGGTGGTATGCGCCCCTGCTTCCAGCTTGCTCGCCCAGAGGGGAGCTCAGTGGATGGACTGGCCAGGGAGCTACCCACATGGCGCGGCAGACCTCTCCTGCCTCGGTGCTGCTCCCCTCAGCAATGTATTTCAGTAGATTTGCCTGTGCTGCTCCCCACTCTGTCTCTGGTGAATCCTCTTGCTTCCCCAGCCACCTCTGGCCTGTACCCCAGTTCTTCTGCGCATAAATAAATATATAAATAAATCTGTAAGAAAAAGAAGAGCTAGACTATCAGCCCTGGGGTGAGCACAGCGTGGGGGACGTGTCAGGAGACACAGCCAGGGAGGCGCGTTCTCTGCCAGTGTCCAGGAGGGGGTCAGGGTCCCTGCGCAGGCCCCCCCTTAACGCCCTGCTCTCTGTCCCTTGCAGACTCCGACCTGAGCATGCGCACCCTGAGCACGCCCAGCCCCGCGCTCATCTGCCCGCCGACCCTGCCGGGGTTCCAGAATGGACGGGGCTCGTCCACCTCGTCGTCCTCCATCACCGGGGAGACCGTGGCCCTGGTGCACTCGCCGCCCCCGACCCGCCTCACGCACCCCCTCATCCGCCTGGCGTCCCGGCCGCAGAAGGAGCAGGCGAGCGTCGAGCGGCTGCCGGACCAGGCGCTGGTGCAGGTGTTCGCCTTCCTGCCCACCAACCAGCTGTGCCGCTGCGCGCGCGTGTGCCGCCGCTGGTACAACCTGGCGTGGGACCCGCGCCTCTGGAGGACGATCCGCCTGACGGGCGAGACCATCAACGTGGACCGCGCGCTCAAGGTGCTGACCCGCCGGCTGTGCCAGGACACGCCCAACGTGTGCCTCATGCTGGAGACCGTGGCGGTGAGCGGCTGCCGGCGCCTCACGGACCGCGGGCTCTACACCATCGCGCAGTGCTGCCCCGAGCTGCGGCGCCTGGAGGTCTCGGGCTGTTACAACATCTCCAACGAGGCCGTCTTCGACGTGGTGTCCCTCTGCCCCAACCTGGAGCACCTGGACGTGTCAGGTAAGCGGAGACGCGCGCACCGCCCCAGAGCGGCAGGGCACGGGCCTCGACCCCGGGGCGCAGGCCTCCTTGGGGGCGGCTGGGGGCTCGGGGGAGGGCGGTGGGCTCCTCCCGAGGAGGTGTCTGCGTGGAGTCACCACGCAGGAGCCGCAGGTGCGCCTTCGTCCAACAGGGCGCACCTCCCAGAGAGGCTAGAGCCACTTAAGTTCCTTTGGCTTTTCAGTGTTTTTCATGCCCCTCCCTCGCCCAGCTATCACAGAGCCGTCACAGATCATGGGGAACAAACAACTATGTATAGATAAATGGGGGGGTCTAATTCAAACACCAGCAGACCCATAGGTGGTGGTTCCAGAGAGCCTGAGAACTCTGCAGGGCGCGCCCTGGACACCGGCAGAGAAAGCTCCTTCCTGGCTGTGTCTCCTTGCACTCCCCCCACGCTGTGCTCACCCCAGGGTTCATAGTCTAGCCCTGCTTTTTCTTAAAGATTTATTTATTTATATATTTATTTATGCACAGAAGAACTGGGGTATACACCAGAAATGGGGGTAGGGGGAGCGAGAGGCTTCACCAGAGACAGAGTGGGGAGCAGCACAGGCGGATCTACTGAAATCCACTGCTGAGGGGAGCAGCGGGGAGACAGGAGAGGTCTGCTGCACCATGTGGGTAGCTCCCTGGCCAGAGATCTAACTAAGGCCACAGGGGTGGTAGCGCTGAGACTTAACCCCTACGCCAGGGGAGAGGGCCGTTCTAGCTCTTGTTAAGCAGAATTCTCAAGTATGTAGTGCCATTCTGCACAGCCGTTAGTCCTTTTAAAAATGGAAGGAAATCACCGTGTGGCTGCTTTGCTGGAAACCGCGCTCCGGCAGGAAGAATTAAAGCGCAGACTTTGGCGCCAGACACAGATTGGCCTGGACTAGCAGCCTGCCTTTATCTCATCCGCTGCCCGGTGAAAAGTCGAACGTTCGAGAGGCTGAAGTGTGTAACATGCATCAGGGAGTTACAGAAATGAACAACACACCCAGCGTAACCTCAGGGAGCACTGGGGAGGGGTCACAAAGTGAGAACCCCTGTGACCGGCCCCTAAGCAGAGTTGGGGGTTTACAAGCATCTCAGGAAAATGATACCCTGCCACAAAAGCCGAGGCAGAAGCCAGCGCTCTCAGTTTGCTTTCTTTTGAAAGCTGACATCTGAAAATATTTCAGATGACAGTCAATTATTTTTCGCAGATTCTTTGCTTGCTGGAAAAGGCTCCTTGCTCCCCTCCCCTGGCTTCAGAACAAAACCTAGTAACTGTGTGTTCCGTTAGTTCTGAGCAGCCTGTTGGCATAAAGGAGCAGGAAATGAAGAGGTTTATCTTACATTTTTTCCTCCAAGGAAATCTGGAAGGAGAAAGCATTGTGATGTGGTAGAACAAGTCTCAAAACGTTGTGATTTGGGACAATTCACAACTTTCCCTAAACGCGTTTCCTCTTGAGTTAGAAAAGAGGCAAGGGAGTGGAGTCTTGAGCATTGTCAGATTCTGGACACGTGGGCCTCTGTAATAAACACCTCGTTTTCTTTCCTCAGATTAGAAAATGATTCATTTTGTGAAATTCCATCTTTGTTAAAGGGGCTCCCCATGCACCCTTGATACGTACCCTTTCCTTGGAGTCTTTTTTTTTTTCCCCTAGGTGTCAGATGTTTATTAGGAAGACTTGTGGAGGGGCGGGGCAGGGGGGGCAGGAGAGGAGGGGCGGGGGGGGGCAGGGGCGGAGGAGAGGGGGGCGGGGGGGAGGAGGGGGGGGCGGGGAGGAGAGCAGGGGCCAGGAAGATCTGAAGCACAGAGCATAGCGGAGCAGCAGGCACAGAGAGAAGAGACCTTCTGCTGCACCACATGCGCTCTAGCTCCATGCCCCCTTATGGGGGCTAACTCCCACGCGCCTTGCGGGTAGCTCCCTGGCCGGGGCTTGAACTCAGGGCTTAGCGGTGAGAGCGCTGAGACTAACCCCTAGGCCATCCTGGAGGTCCCGCCAGGGGCTTCGTTAAATGGAGCCTTTAACCTTTATTAGGAGGCTTCAGGAGAACCACTGACAGCTGCTTCTCCAGCAAGTCAGAAGAGACTATGGCTGCCCTGCCCTGCCCTTCCCTTCCCTCAGTGATCATCACTGTCTCCTTGGAGTCCTTTTGAAATTCAGAAATGCAGAACCACTTTGACTTTGGGGAATGGAAATTGTAGCCTGAGTGTTTGAATCTGCTTGGCCCACTGACCAAGCTCAGCATTATGAAAACCTTGATGCCATTTCTCTCTCTCAAGCGGACTGGTTTGTGATTTGTGGAGCTTCCTTTGAATGTCTCCCCAAGTTTCCCTGGAATCTATGTACTAAATTAAACAAGGAAAATCTAGCTTGCCAGGCTGAGCACAGAACACCAGATTTTCAGGCCGGGAGGGATTTTCATGGACCGGAAAGACCTAATATGCCATTAAAATGGTCTGTATCACCTCGGTCAGAGCCCTCCCCTTTTGCGAGAGTCTGGAAATTGTTTTGTTGAAACAGGGACGGGCCAGAGGAACACTAAAAGTGATTTCACCTGTGCCTGCTGTCCTTGGTTTTCACAGCTGGCTTCAGGTGTTGGCCAACTTCTCAACGCCAGTAAACTACTCTAGAAGACTCATCATTAGCCTTGAGTTTATTCCACCTGGAGGATGTGAAAATGTCTCTTCCCCCCCCCCCCCCCCCGGCAATGCAAAAAGACTCATTTTGAAAACTCTTTTCAAATCATTGAAAATTACTATACCTCTCTGCAGTGTTTTTCATTACTACATATTACCTTTTATTAGGTAGATAGGTATAGACAGATAGTTTGAATAATGAACACACAGTATCGAAGCTGAGAAGTTGGCCACACACCTGTCACCTACAAGCTGCAGACCCAGGCATGCTGGAGGTGTAGTTCAGTCTGAGTTTGAGACTTAAGAACCAGGGTTGCCAGGCCTCCCCGGTGGCACAGCGGTTGAGCGCTGGGTTGCGAAGCTGCCCGCAGCCTCTGCGGCGCCGGTTCGATCCCCGGCTGCTCCCCGGCCACCGGAGGAGGGTCCCACATGGCGCGCAGACCTCTCCTGCCGCTCGCTGCTCCCCTCGGCAGTGTCCTTCGGTCCTTCTGCCTGCTCTGCTCCCCGCTCTGGCTCTGGTGAATTCTCTCACCCTCCTGCGCTTCTGACTGTGCCCAGTGCTTGTATAAATAAATAAATCTTAAAAAAAAAAAAAAAACGGAAAAAGAAAAAAAAAAGAACCAGGGTCACCAGTGGCATGAGTCTTAGTCTGAAGGCTGCAGAGCACCAGTGTCCAGCTCCCACAGCCAGCAGAGACAGAGAGACAGGAGTTCTCTGTCCCTCCACCTTTCTTCTCTTCAGGTCGACACCAAATAGGGTGAGGCCTACCCCTGTGGGGAGGGCAGGCTGCTGTGCTGAATCCACTGATTCAGACGCTCATCTTATCCAGAAACACCCTCACTGACACGGCCAGAAAGAAATGTTCAGGAAATTATCTCAACACTCTTTCATCCAGTCAATTTGACACCCAAAATGAACCATCATGATTGATTATATTTTTAAATACTGAAACATATTGAAACCAAAAAATTTTCACAATATAAGATGTTACGATTATTGCAAATGAAATTGCTTTAAAGAGTCCGCTCCACATGGAGAGATTGGGGTCTCTTTTTCTTCCTAAAGTTTTACATCCCACCGGGCCAAGTCTATCCAGGTGATTCTGCCTCCCCAGTTCCTCTTTCTACCTCTTCTCTACCTGCTTGCTAGAGGACCTGTTCATTTTCCAGTCTCCTTATATCCATCTCAACCCTAGCAGTCCCCTCTCCACATGTCCCACCTCCAGAGGAATTGTTTTTTCATACTCTAAAGCTAATCATTCATTTTCCTACATAAAGTCTCCAATTGTCCCCCTCCCCCCACCATGACCTACAGGAAAACTTCAGATTCTTCAGCAGCACATTCCAGGCCCTTCATGAGCTGCCTTGGCCGGGCTCAGACCTCACCCCCTCCTGTGTGCACACAAGGCTTTTCCCCATGCAACTCTTTGCATGTCCCCAGCACATCAGGTCTGTGTACACCATCTCCGGTTTGCATGCTCTGCCTTCTCTGCTGCCTGCCCGTCCCCGGCAGTAACCTTCTTAACCTATTTCTCATTACACAAGTTCTACGTCAAACGCTGGGGTAGAACTAAGGAAGTCTTGAGCACAGGATTCCAGATTTTCGGGTAGAAACTCTTCCCTGCCTGAACCCGGTGAGCTAAATATTTCTTTCTGGAGATCTGCCTTTGGAGGCAAGTAAAACTCACTCGGTTTTGCAGTTCCATACTTGTATCTTCCCGGATTCCTTTCTCTCAAGCCATGGTAAGCTTTTTAAAGCTTGTAGCAAAAAATGAGGCATAGTTTATATTTTCACTTTATTATATTGCAGTTAAATGAGCAGAGAAGTATGAAAGCCCTGACAGTCTTCTTGCCCTCTGAAAGGTTCAGACAGAGCTGTCTTTGGTTAATACTCTGAACGAGGTGCCGGGATCCTATAGCATAGTGGTTAAAATGGCCTCATTAGTAAAATGAGGGAAGATTAGATAGTTAATGCTCGTGAAGTTCCTCGCATGCGTGCTCAGCAGAAAATTACACCGTGAGCACTCCAAAAAGCACACTTGTCATCATTTTGGATGGTTATGACTACGGTCAGGAGTCGGCAGTTGGCCTCCACTGACTTAGTCATCTTATATCCCAGATATTACCCCAATATTACCCCAGTAGCTGGAGTAGTAATGAGTACCTTTGTGAAAGCTGAGCCAAATTGCAGTGAATTGACAAAAAATGTGCTGCTTATAATGCCCATTCCCTGTTGAGCAATATCCAGGTGTAAGGGCTTCAGCTGCAAACAGCTGGGAGTCCCTTTTCTGGGGAGCTTATATTCCAGAGTGAGGACAGCAGATGCGTAAGTGAACAAATAAATACACAACAGCACCAAGTGACAGAGAGGCCCAGGAATGCAGGAGAGGCAGGCAGGTGATAACTCGGTAGCACCAGGTGATTCAGCCAGAACTGCTCACCCCCATTTTGAAACCAAGGAAATACAGGGTTTGACTTACCTAGCGCCATGCATCTGGAATTGGAGCCATGAGGCTTTCCGATGCAAATGCCTAGGACTCCCCAGACCCCAGAGAATCGAAGTCGATAATCCAATCAGCACCGAGCCACGCCCTCACTTTTCCTTCCTGGGGGGGCCGAGACTGAAGGTGTCCGTTTGGGCCGGGCTCTGCAGGGGGGTTGGGAGTCCCCAGGTTGGCCAGACCCGCCCGCGGCTCTAAGCCTGTGTTCTGTCTCCTGTGTAGGCTGCTCCAAGGTGACCTGCATCAGCCTGACCCGCGAGGCCTCCATTAAACTGTCCCCCTTGCATGGCAAACAGATTTCCATCCGCTACCTGGACATGACGGACTGCTTCGTGCTGGAGGACGAGGGGCTGCACACCATCGCGGCGCACTGCACGCAGCTCACGCACCTGTACCTGCGGCGCTGCGTGCGCCTCACCGACGAGGGCCTGCGCTACCTGATGATCTACTGCCCCTCCATCAAGGAGCTGAGCGTCAGCGACTGCCGCTTCGTCAGCGACTTCGGCCTGCGGGAGATCGCCAAGCTGGAGACCCGCCTGCGGTACCTGAGCATCGCGCACTGCGGCCGTGTGACCGACGTGGGCCTCCGCTACGTCGCCAAGTACTGCAGCAAGCTGCGCTACCTCAACGCGAGGGGCTGCGAGGGCATCACGGACCACGGCGTGGAGTACCTGGCCAAGAACTGCACCAAGCTCAAGTCTCTGGACATCGGCAAGTGCCCGCTGGTCTCCGACGCGGGCCTGGAGTGCCTCGCCCTGAACTGCTTCAACCTCAAGCGGCTCAGCCTCAAGTCGTGCGAGAGCATCACGGGCCACGGCTTGCAGATCGTGGCCGCCAACTGCTTTGACCTGCAGATGCTCAACGTCCAGGACTGCGAGGTGTCCGTGGAGGCGCTGCGCTTCGTGAAGCGCCACTGCAAGCGCTGCGTGATCGAGCACACCAACCCCGCCTTCTTCTAACCCGACGGCTGCGGCCTCGCGGTTTTCCTGCAGACGTGAACACAACAACGTGGTTTTTGTTGCTTCGAAGCAGCCTATGTAAGCACCGGCACCCACCCACAACAGCTGTTTCTCTCGGGAAGGCTCTGGGGAAGCTGAGTCTTCTTTTTCCTAATTTCTTATGGGCAACGAGTCAAGGGAAGGAAGGGGGCAGGGCAAATTTCTACCATGTGGGGTCTATGGTTTTTCTGGATTTAGTTTTTTCCTTTCTTTTTGGTCAGGCCCTTTGTAGACCTTTTCTTGTGGCACAAAAGATGCACCTCCGTCTAATTGCTGCAGTGTGTTTAGGAACGCACCTGCCTCCCCAGGTTCTGCACCTCCACCCTCCGCTGCTGTCCTCCGGCCAAAAGCAGCAACAAATCATCAGAGTAATACTGTTGTCCACGCCTCCTCTTTAAACTTCTTGATTGACTTAAACGATGTTCCAAAATCTCACACCCAAACAAGTTCCCATTAAGTGGCCTAGCACTTGGCAAATGCAAAGTACTTCCAAACCCTCTGAATGGCTTGCATCGAGTTGTAGGGGGAGACTGCATTGCTCCCCACCCCTGCCACTAACTAGCTGTGTGACCTTGGGCCAAGCACTCAGCCTCTCTGGGCTTTCCAGCACTGAGTCAGAGGCTAGCCAGCTCAAGGATGAGCTTCATGCCCACTTTAGTTCTGAGGGAACCCAGAGCAGAAGCAGCCTTGGCAGGGAGCCCAGCAGGCATCTACCTCCTCCAAGAGCACTGATTCTGTGGGTGCCTGCAGGAGATTGGGAAGTGTCATCCTGTACCCCAGTCTGAGCATCACCCACATCCTTATCTGTTTGGTGGGTGAGTCTCCCAGGTATCTGTCTCCAGCCCAACTGGGCTCTGTGTACCATTACCTTCAGCATCACACCCCCCACCCCCGCCCCAGGTCATCACCGTCAAGGTGATGGAATCACAGTGAAGCGCGCCTTCCCCCAGCCAACTGGATCTTGTTGAGTGTTTGCAAATAGAGGGAAAGGTCTTCACCATTTTCAGTTAACAGGTGAAGCCCGAGGGGACCCATGTCCTCTGAAGTTTTTCTAATCCCTCATGCACATATGGTGGGCACAGGCACATCTGTCCTGCAGCTGCAGGACGGACGCCTAGGTTGTCATTCACATCCCATTTCTACTTTGCTCATCTATTTCTTTTCCCATCCAGGCTTCATCACATGAAGCCTGTTGAAGTTGAATCCTAAGAGTTTCATTGTGCTGACTGCCCCTCGTGCATCTCCCCTGTGGCCGTCTGCATGTTCTCCATCAGGGAGGGCAAAGCAGACTTCCAGGTGTCTAAATATTGTTCACGCAAAAATGCCAGCCCAGACGAGGGAGCACACTGATAAGACTTAGACACCCACCAGCCAGGTTCTTGAAAACAAGACTGAAATCATGGTCAAGTAAGGGGTTTAAATGGCGCTACTGGGCTAGAAACTCCTTTGCTAACCTCATTCGTGAGAAATCAGAATGCCAGAAGAAACTCCAGGGCGCGTTTTCATAAAATTGAGCTGCCTTTTTGCTGGTAAACACATGACTTGACCCAAATTACTCTCTAGCCTAGACCGTCCTTCGCTGTTCAAATTCTCCATCTATTTCCTTCTCAAAGGGCCACCAGCCAAGCCCAGACCCTCCACCTCCCCAGCCACGCACCTGGAAATGGTTTCAGATCAAGCTTCCACATCTCACGACAACTGCACTCCTGCTGTAGGCTCCCGATGTCCTTTCGTTTGTCTTCTGTGGGGAAGGAGGTAGAGTGAGTCGTCATCTGCCCGCAGGGCTCCTGCCCGTGTCCTGTGAATCAACTCTGTGCCGGGAAACGAATGGTTTGGCCGAGGAGAGTATCTCTACCTTCCTACTACACTAGGCAGAGTTCTGACCCGTGAAAGGGGCTCAAGGTAGCATTCCCTTGTCACCCCCACCTAAAGTCTCAGAGTTTGAGGGTCACAAAGGTTGTCCCTAACCTTCGGCACTGGTGTCTTCTCCAACTGAGTGGCTGTCGTGCTCACAGAATGAGCTGGGAGATGCAGAATGGCTCCCGGCATCAGCCAGGGCTGTCCCATTGGGCATCTCTCCTCAACACCTGCCTCATCAAACTGTCTTCCCAACGTGAGACAAAGTCAACTTTCATGCTGATTGCCCAGCACCTATGTCTTTCCCAGTTTCTCCCCTTTTCCAAGTCTTCCTTCCTTCTAAGTCCCCCCGGGGTTGGAATCTATGACAGAGGTTACTGGGGAAACAGATCAGCAGATTTTTTAGACTCTCGAGCAAAAGGACTCACTAGGAAATTTGTTCTAAAACATTGCTTCCTTCCTGTCACTGCTAAATTGAATGCTCATTGTTTTTTTTTAAATCCTAATGTTCAAATCACAGCGTGCTGTATGATTCTAGAAAGCCTTAATTTACTACCGCCAAGAAATAAAGCAATATGTTGGTTATCGGACTGAGTGTCATTTACTACCCAGGCCAGGGGAGCGTTTTGTTCCGATGGGGGCTTTGAAAACTAAGCAAGAAATCTGGCCTGTGTTGAAGTAGAGAGTTTCTGCAGTTGTTAAAAGGTAACAAGTACTCAAAAAAAAATGTGTGCCCCTCCTTTAGTTATTTCCCTTAGACTTAGGCTTAAAATTAAGTGATAAGTGAAACATCATTGCATTTCAGTTCAGGTCTTCAGTTTCATCACCCGTACTCTTGAGTCAGATGTGTTTTAGAATTCGCCATCGTTCGTAGGTTAGGGAGTTCTCCATGGTGTATTTGTAACCCCCCTCGCAGAGTCTGGGGTCAGCACCTTTAATGGAGCTTAACAACTCTGCAGCAACTGCAGCAATAGAGATGAGCACCCGCCCTACATTAGAGTATTACAAACTTTAAAGAGCCTTGTTTCCATTCAGGTTAGGTGTGGTCATCACATTCATTTGTGCCAAACAAATTAAAACAAAATTATTCTGAGTTTTCCGGCTTTCAGAGTTATGGATAAGAAGCCATTGACATGAACACAGTTCACTGGGCTCTGGTTACAAGCACTGGAAAATTTTTCAAAATTATGCTGACCAATAGTTGTTATAAATTTTTTTTAAATTTGAACATTAAAATTTGGATGGAGATAATGGCAACTTTCTAAAGGCAAATTAGAGCTGGAAAAAGAAATCCCAAATCTCTACAAACCCAAACTTTTTGATGTAAGAAATGAATAAAGCAGAAAGTAAGCACCGCTGGAGGGTGTGGCAAGGCGGGGGTGGAGTAGGGGTAGAAAATACCAGTTCTAAATGTCTGTCACTCCTTCATGACTCTACATCAACCAAGAGGACTGGAAACTGCTTTGGAATATTAGTTTGAGGTCACCCCATGTCGCCCATGTCAAGAACCCACAATAAGGCCACAGAAATTAAAACCCACTTGCCCTTGAAATTCATGACTTCTTATGCTGACTTTTGTTCAGAATGAGGGAAGTCTTTAAGACATTTGACTGCACGAACACACAGTATGAGACCCAGACAGGGAGAGTTCTGTGAGGTGAAAAGTAACACAATAAAATCGCTTACCATGTCTGAATGTTCTGTCACTTAAAGGAGGGCATTTGTTCAATACCTGACAATGATGATTAGTCAAAAAGAACTTAATTTGGAAAACTGCTGACTGGAGAGAAGAGGGAGAAACGGTATTTAGAAACAAGGTAAATACTGCAGTGAAAATGCTTGCACCTAACAGCTGGGCAATAAAACCGGCTTCCTCCCCTACGCTTTGGTGGGTCTGTCTTGACGCAGACACCAGAGGTAGCCTTTAATGTTTCCAGAAAGAGGTGCAGGGGGAAGGGATGCCCAGTGGTTGCTGGCGCTCCCATCTCCAGGGGTGCAGATGCCACCACTGAGATTGCCCAAAGAGCAGCCCAAACTATTCACGCAGGAATATTCTCACAGACACCCAGGTTGGGGCCACCCCACCCAGGTACGCAGCCAGGAGGGAGTTTGTCCTGCTCTCCTTTGAGTGCACATTATCTCCTCAAGCCTCACACCCAACTTGTGGAAACTTTCCTTTCTTCCCAAATCAGCAGATCAGTTAGCAGTTTAAACCTCTTGGATGAAAGAACATCTCCAGTGGTAGCTGGATACGGAACGACCCCTGCACATCAATAACACTGACGCCATCTTGTCAGAACAGGCTTGGGAAATGTCTGCAACTAGCCGCCCATCTTGTGTCCCACCCACAAGAACTTTAGGAGCTAAATTGTTGCTCAGGTGTTAGCCATCAGCATCACCCAGGCATCAAAGGATGGCCTTGAAGGATCATTTTTAAAAACGCTTGACCTAAATATTCACAAACGGAACCATTTCTATATTGCAGAATGTTTCCCTTTTTAGCCACTCAGCTACTGAAGTTGACACTGAGGAGGTCAGTATGTCTGAACCATGTTATGGTCAGCGAGATGGGAACTGGGAACGTCAGTCATTCTTCAGGAACCTAGAATGCCCAAGGAGAGACAACCATTTTAATCCACAGGAGCAAATGGTTTTTAACAACCCTCAGCTTCTTTAACAAGGATTTATTGACCAGGCCCTGTGATGAGTTCCAGGTGAATTAGATATACCCTGCCCCTAAAGGAACTCAGATTAAGTGACTATCATACCATGTCAGCATTAGAGAGTAGAAGGGGATGATGAAAATGGCAAATTTCTTTTATTCATCCATTCATCAACAAGTGTTCACTGAGAGCCTATATGTGCCAGGCGTGTTGCTGGCATGGGGTGTCTTGCACTGATGGGGTTTACCAAAGGACTGTTTTCCCCCAGGTGTGTGACTCCTCTCAGAGGACAAGCCCTTTGAGCTGGATTTTGCACATCAAAGTGAGCAGTAACAAGCCATGAAGCCCTGGAGCAGCCAAATCGGCCTCACGGAGCGCACTCTGCGCACTCGGAGGCAATGCTTCCTAAGATTAATGGAGTCACGTGTCTCTGCTGCTGACACTGTGGGGCTCACTGTTCTCACTGAAGGTTACTTTCTCCTTGCCTTGTTATTCCTATGCAGAGATGGCTCAGTTGCATTGCTCCAGTGTCACCCCATAGATGAATCCCTGTGCGCCCACACTCTTAGGATCCCAGGTATGCACAATCTCATCTTAAAAGATGGGAACATCCTGTAAAAGCAATACCTGTGAGAATGGCACATATTAAAAAAACTAGCAACAACAAATGTTGGCGAGGATATGGAGAAAAAGGAACTCTCCTGCACTGCTGGTGGGAGTGCAAACTGGTCCAACCACTGTGGAGAGCTGTGTGGAGATTTCTGGACCTACTAAACATAGAGCTTCCATAGGATCCAGCAATTCCACTCCTAGGTATTTACCCAAAGGACACAGAAACATCCATTCCAAAGAGCACCTGCACCCCTATGTTTGTAGCAGCACTGTTTACAATAGCTAAGCTTTGGAAACAACCCAAATGCCCAAAAATAGATGACTGGATCAAGAAGATGTGGTGCATATACACCAGGGAATATTACTTAGCATTCAAAAAAGATAAACACATGCCATTTGCAGCAACATGGATGGCGCTGGAAGGGATCATGCTCAGCGAAATAAGCCAGAAAGAAAAAGAAAAATACCGGATGGTCTCACTCATAGCAGGAATCTAGAAAACTTAAATAAGGGACCAGGAAAATGAATAACTATAAGAAAGTAAAAATCAAAATCAACAAAAAACTATGAACCAGAGGCACTCTATGGGGGGTGGGGGAGCGGGGAGGGGAGGGATTGGGGTCAAAATAAGGGGGTTGCAATTGTATGGGGAATATAAAAATAAAATTTATTTTTAAAAAAAAGCAATACCTGAACGATTTCTAGGACAAACCCTAAAAACCTCAAAGTGACTTGACAGTCCCCCAAGCAGCAAGAGCAATAAGAGTGCAAACAACCCTCCACCTGTCCGCCTGCAATTGAGATCCCCCCAGTATCTAGCTCAGGAAGCAGGGGAGAGGAGCTCCCTCTTCAGACAGCTTAATTTTTTCCAGCCCATGTGGCAGCCTTCATTGCTACTCTGTTATGTACTTATGATGGAACAGTCAGAGTAGCTGAGGCGTCTGGATGTCCCTTTACTGGAAAATGAGTCATGTCAGTAATTTGGACAGATTCAGTAAGATTAAGCAGCCTTTCAAATGGCCAAGAAATGGATTTTACTTGTAAACTCACTGAGGATGGGCTCTTAGAAACCTTGCATTTATCTGGGTTATGAATGTGAAGTTATCTGCCCACACTAAAAAATCAACTAAACAATGAAAGCCATTAGGCGCTGCATGAGTGACAGGAAGGAAATTCTTCACCCTGAATCACTGCAGTCAGGGGCAACAGTCCTCATGGATTTTTCAGAGCCCGACGTGTCCCCAAGTCTGAGCGGGTTCACTAAAGCCCATTTCCAGATAGTGACAGATACAGGGGAGAGGATTTCCAATTACAAAGATTAAGCATTCGTGGTGTTCCTTTTCTCTGCAGTCCCACCAGGCACTAATGAACACAGCCTCCCTCTACAAATAAGGCCTTAATAAAAAAAAAGCCTTCCAGATTTTCACATCATGAATGTATTCTTCATGGGTGTTTACATTCAGACTTTAAACAAACTTATCATGGCCTTTTTCATTTATGGGGAAGTAGATAAAGGGACAAAGCTGTCACAGCTGATAAATAGCCTTGTCCATGTTATCTCAAAGTCTTTCTTTTGGAAATGGTAACCCGAGTCGACATGATTATCTTTGTATAATTTCATACTTTTCATTCTTCCAGAATAAGTACACAAATGCATTGGATTTCACTGCGCAGAGCTCCCTTTGCAGTGCCACCCTGTAATCATGGGGAGATGTTGGTTTCTCATGGCCCCTTGCCACTTAGTAAAGCCCCTAAAGCCTTCACTTTACCTCAGAGGTCCTTGTTAGGAGAGCCAGAGAGAGAACTTAGACCATTTCCCTTGTTCTTGCTGCAGCCATAGAGGCCAACGTGCGATCTGAGACCTAGCCGATGGCTTTCCTGAGCTCGTCGGGCTGTGCAACCCCGGTCGGCTCTTCTCTCCGGTCGCCATGTTAGCACCGGGTGCTCTGGAAAGCTGGAGAGCAGATGGCTGTGGGTTTACAGAAAAATGAGGCAGAGAGAGAAACAGTCGAGAATGACCTCTCACTCACGTAATGAAAACCAGCCTCTCCTCCAGATCTCCAGGCTGGCATTGCTTCCCTGATGCCATGGCCTCGGGCTCCAGCATGTTTCTTTTTTTTCTTCTTTTTTTTTTTTTTAAAGACTATTTTTTTTTAAGATTTATTTTTATTTATTTATACAAGCACTGGATACAGTCAGAAGCGCAGGAGGGTGAGAGAATTCACCAGAGCCAGAGTGGGAAGCAGAACAGACAGACTGAAGCACACTGCTGAGGGGAGCAGCGGGCGGCAGGAGAGGTCTGCGCGCCATGTGGGACCCTCCTCTGGTGGC